TCTGATTATGTAACTCTGGTACATGTAATCTGTTCCTCTCCAACACACATATGCATCTATCTTCACTAGAATCATCTGGATAACAGCAGAATGACACACTTTCATACTTAATCTGTATCTAAAGGTCATAGAAGTTATTAATTCAACCTTCTAGGCAAGTTTATTTGTAGAGCACAATTTGTACACAAAGTAATTCAAAGTACTTTACAGAATAAGAAATACATTAAAGTCACAATATATTACAAACAAACCAAAACATAAATAACTGATATAAAATAAAAAAGAGAAAGAGACATTAAATGAGAGAGTGAGAGAGAAGAGTGCAAAATGAAAACCTTTTAGTCCTCTGCAGCAAAACAGAACTGTTCTGTGTTAAAGCAGAGGCCTGTTTCACATGTTCAGGAAGAAAAAAAGAACCAAAACATTTTAAGAAGTGCAAATAAAAATACACACGATAAGTACTGACCCCAAAATCATGTTCCAGCTTTCATATTTTGTTGATATAGTAATTATCGTAACCCTAAGGCAATATTACCCATGGAGTCTGACAGAATATTAAGCCTAGAGACCACAAGAGTATTTCCAATAAATAAACCACAAAATATTTTTAAAAAGTAGCCTATGTGAGAAACCAGAGCAAAAACGCCATTGTTGAAATCATTTTGTTGATGTACAGTTTTTGTCAAAGTAAAAGTATGATGTCTGAAAACCACCCAAAGTAGCTCTACAGTTTCTATAAGAATATGTAACTGAGCAGGATTTCTGGCTCTGGACACTTTTATCTTGATTGATATTATTACAAATTTATCACCAGAGTAAAATTGACAGTGGCAGATCTGGAAAATATAAAAAACAACAACAACAAAAAAACATGAATGTATAGGCCTACTAGTGCCAAATGCAAAGTGTCCTCAGCCCTGACTTGAATAATAAAGGTTTTGTCTTTGTCCATGTTATAATAAAGAGCATTTATCTCATAAGGAAGCAGATTTTCCTGACTGCATTTTGCACTAGAAGGAAACATTCATGCTTCTCAGATCTGCAAGTCATTTTACAGTTGTTGTGACTTGAACCCCTGACCTTTGTGACGTTATCCTTCCCATAACCGGCTCAACTCGCCTGCACCCTTTTTCAGCTTATTACAAGTTTATTGTCTATTCGACTTTTGTCCTTTTTATCTGTTCTGCCTGGAGTATGTATTTCTGTACTTTTGGCATAGACATTAAGCTGCATACTTAATTCTGAATATACACCAATCCTAGCCTACAACCAGTGTTGGGAAGGTGACTTTTAAAATGTATTCCGTTACAGATTATAGATTACATACCCCAAAATGTAGTTTGTAGCGTAATCCATTAAATTACTTAAAGTGAGTAACGTAATCTGAATACTTTGGATTACTTGATTTGCTGTAGAGAAGCAAAGACTAGGATACTTAACCGTATTAAAAAATATTATTGATAGAAGAGCAGGAGACATATCCGCGCAGCATGGTTTAGTCCTGTTAAATCCTGTTTTAGTCCTGGTTTAGTCCTGGTTTAGACCTGGTTTAGACCTGATTTAGATCTAGTTTAGACCTGGTTTAGACCTTGTTTTAGTCCTGGTTTAGTCCTGGTTTAAATCTGGTTTTAGTCCTGGTTTAGACCTGGTTTAGACCTGGTTTAGATTAGTTTAGATCTGGTTTAGATCTAGTTTAGACCTGGTTTTAGTCCTTATTCAGATCTAGTTTAGACCTGGTTTTAGTCCTTGTTTAGTTTCCAGCAATGAGTAGAATTACCAAAAAAAAAAAAAAAAAAAAAAATTGTATTAAAATAATGTAAAAACTGGAAAATACCGCCGTGTAATCCATTTATTTCAACAAAGTAACTGTAATCCAATTACCACTCACTGAAACATTAACTGTAACCGAACACAGTTACTCATAATTTGTACTCTGATTACATAACTCCAGTTCATGTAATCTGTTACTCCCCAACACTGCCTACCAACAACAAACCATTTAAAACTTTATATGCCTTGTAAACGTCATATTTTTTCTGGACTTTTTGTTTTAATATTTTATTATCAATCTCCTATTTTCTACCGGAATAAAAATCATTTTGAGGCGACAGATTCACCATAGACTGTATATGGCAGAAACTACGGGCAATCTGTCATGAAGGTCTAAAGTGGTTGTAGTGACATATATTATCCAGCAGATGGAGCCAGAGACCAGTCAGAGACTATGCTCAGAAAACACGCCACAGTCTGTATGCAGGCTATGCTGTGCTGTGCGTAATGATGTTGTTTAGTTGTATTTTAAACGTACTTGAACAGGCACAGAGTCGTAATATCCTGCTGTAGCCTTTGTGGACAAGCCTTATGTCTGAAGTATAAAAGAAAACCTCGTGATATTAAAATATGGAAGTGCTATTCTTCTTTTTTCCATTGCTATTTTCAACACAGAAGCAGAACAGGCCTTTTTGAACTAAATCAGTAATAATAATAACTGAATTCAAGTTGTCGAACTTGCATCGGCCGCCAATTAGACCTAACTGAAATGATTTTGTGTTGCTTGTGTGTGTATCCGTGTGTGTGTGTCTTTAAAAAAAAAAGAAACCCACAATATTCAAATATAACTACACTGTAAACAAAAAGACATGTATCAATAAAATAAATAAATAAATAAATAAATAAAACACATTTCAACATCAGAGACAAATGGGCACAATCAATAAATTCTATGTCATCTGAGAGAGGAAGATTTATACTGTACATTAGAGAGTGTGTGTTTGTGGTTTTAATTGTTTTAAAGGTGCACTGTGTAACTTTTCTGATGTAGGGTAGAAATGTCTCCATAATCTCCATAGAAATGATGGCCTTAATGTTACATAGTATGGCATTATCAACCTAGCATTCCTTCAGTCACAGGTGTTTTTATTGCTAAAAATGACCTTGAATAACGTGTTTTGAGGGAGCCTGCCTCTCCACAGATCTACAGATCTACAGAATACCTGCATTAAAATGTATTTTGTAATGTACTCCAATACATGCCCCAATCAGAGTACTGATTGGGGGCATGAATACTTTTACATGAAGCTGTGTTTAAATTATAGTGTAAAGATGCAATTTAGTATTATTATTAGTAGTATTTAGTTGTCATTTTTAAAGCAAATCACACATGCACTCACCACAAGAGCAGACTTGTCTCTTTTTCTCACAGGTTCTGTGCAGTTTGAAGTGACAGCTTTACATGATCAAATAACATGATGTGTTCCTTTGAAGTAGCTAACTGTGATCTGAATATTATGAACTTAGATTTAGACTTAGACAAACTTTATTGATCCACAAAGGAAAATGTAGCTCACATAAGCACAATATAATATAATAACAAAGAGTAAAATAAAAATATAACTGTACCAGAATATAGTTACTCAGAAATAGTATTCAAAATATGCATTCTCTGTGCATGTATTCAATTACTTCTAGGGATGGGACAATAAACAATAATATGATTTATCATGATAAAAATGGTAGATAATAATCATTTCTAGAACATATATAATAATATAATCATGAAAATTGCCAAAAAGACTTTTTTTTTCACTAAAATGCAGAAAAAGATAGTTATCCATGATATTTTCTTCTCCATTGTTGTTTTCATTTTCAATAACAGTAAAATACTATAATAGTTGTTTAAATATGGAACTTATTCATAATATCACATTTAAAACAATTATTCACATCCATACAATGTTTTACCTGTTTGCAACTTTAATCATAATCATTATCATTAATAGCAATTATTTTCAATTGCAAATTTCCATCCCATCTCATGTCGTGTTACTTCCCAACACTGTCTGTCCATTTCAGTGATAAACTTGTTGCGTGTGTGTTCGTGTACGTGCATGTGTGTTCGTGTATGTGCGTGTGTCTGCTGTGTTGTGTGTGCTGTGGTGTGTGTGCTGTGGTGTTTACTGTGGTGTGTGTGCTGTGGTGTGTCCCTGAGCATCAGATGGTGACCGTGCACCGCCTCGTGTGGCCCCTGGGGAAATGAAGCGCCCTGCCCTGTAATCCTGTAATAGCCATTTCATCAGTGCAGCTCGGAGCATCAGCAGCAACAGCAAAAGCAACATGTAGTCTACAGATGGTTGTAGTCCACACACAGTTGGAGTCCACAGACAGCTGTAATCCACAGACAGTTGTAGTCCACAGACAGTTGTAGGAGTCCACAGACTGTAATCCACAAACAGTTGAATGAGTCCACAGACAGTTGTAGGAGTCCACAGGCAGGTGTAGTCCACAGACAGTTGTAGGAATCCACAGACAGTTCTAGTCCATAGACAGTTATAGGAGTCCACATACAGCTGTACTCCACAGAGAGTTGTAGGAGTCCACAGACAGTGGTAGGAGTTCACTGACAGCTGTAGTCCACAGACAGTTGTAGGAGTCCACAGACAGTGGTAGGAGTTCCACTGTAGTCCACAGACAGTAGTCCACAGACAGTGGTAGGAGTTCACTGACAGCTGTAGTCCACAGACAGTTGTAGGAGTCCACTGGCAGTTGTAGGAGTCCACAGACAGTTGTAGTCCATAGACAGTTGTAGTCCACAGACAGTTGTAGTCCACAGACAGTTGTAGTCCACAGACAGTTGTAGTCCATAGACAGTTGTAGTCCACAGACAGTTGTAGTCCACAGACAGTTGTAGTCCACAGACAGTTGTAGGAGTCCACAGACAGTTGTAGGAGTCCACAGACAGTTCTAGTCCATAGACAGTTGTAGTCCACAGACAGTTATAGACCACATACAGTTACAGGAGTCCACAGACAGTTATAGGAGTCCACATACAGCTGTAGTCCACAGACAGTTATAGACCACATACAGCTGTAGTCCACAGACAGTTGTAGGAGTCCACAGACACTTGTAGGTGTCCACAGACAGTTGGAGTACACACACTGTTGAGTCCAGCAGCGCTTCTCAACGCGCCTGGGAACCGACGCATGCGCACTGGCTGACATTTTCGAGTGGGGTTTGAACAGGAAGGCGGACATGTTGGCCAGGCTGCGCGAAGAGAAAATCAGGCATCGTCTGCTCGGCTCTTTTTCGGACACCATCCCTCTTCAGGATCTTATTGATCACTTTTTGGCCTGAACGAAAGAGCATCTTTTTGGGGGAAGCGTAGACGAGGCGATGACAGCGCTCGGGACGCGGCGCACGTACCGCACTTTGACGCTGTGACGACGCCGCGTTCACAGACGAATTTGTCAGAAGCAGAAGTTTTTTCCAGCCACTTCTACTTTTGAGCTGTCACCGTCGCTCGCGTTACTTCAGCTAAACTTGGGACATATCTGGAAGCGGGGCTGGATTGTATATAATTTTGCAAAGACGCTTCCCGATTGGACTTTCCGTGTAGCTTTTAATAGTCTTTTGTTTGGATGCTGCTGCATTTTAAGCTCTTCTCCTGTGGCATCCTGCGGACTAATCTGTCGCCGCATTTATCTTTTGGCTGTGAAGTTCTCAATCACACTTGGAGAAATATATTTTGACACCGATCATGTGGCTTTTGTACATCCAGCGTAATCTTAAACGTTTTATTGTTGGCGAAAACAAGGGGAGAACAATGTATTTTCTTTGAAGCGCAAACTTGGGAGGCAGACGGAACATTTGGTTAGCTTCCGCAGGCTGCTAAGTAAAGCTAGCCTCGCCAGAGCTGTTTTTGCATACAATCGAGCATCGGGACTGATTTAAGCTGTAAAAATGTCTAATGCGGAACCCATGGAGGCTCGGTTTGAGAAAATCGATGCCATGCTGAAGGACCCGAAGTCGGAAATCAACACGGATTGTCTCCTGGTAAGTTTGCGGGGTGCTAACAGGCTAAAGTTGCTAGCGTCGCAGCCATTCGGGGTCAGACTAGCTCTTAGAGACATGATGGAAATGAACACGTCTCCAGCTATGTTTAATATGAGTTTGGCTGTCTTTTTCTATCATTTGATCGTATAATATATTTTAGATTGCATGTAAACAGTACGTGTTTTGACTGCGCCAATGCTCGTTTAGCTTTCAAATTCTGAACTTGCAATATAAGGGATAGTTCCTGTATAATCCTGCAACTCAAATTCTACCATGCAAACAATGTTTAATCTACAAAACCCATATCTTTAAACTGACCAAAAATATAACGAGTATCTAAAATAGTTACTTCACATTTGAATTATTACTTCATCTATGAAATATTAAGCACCTACTTCCATTAAGTGCATTGTTGGCATCTTGTTGTAATGAATTAGTTGACGCTTGTTATACAAAGCTACAAAACATTATTTACATTGAGTCATTGAGCATATTTTGTTGAAGCAATTGGAGCAAGAATTTGTAGCACTCCACCGGTTCAACTTGAAAATACTAAACAAGTCAAGACTGTCAAACTTGGCTTTTCCCATTGTAACCTTTTGGCCTGACATTTGTGCTGTGAACGGAAGTAGCATGGAATTCTTAAAGGAAAATGCTCAGATATTGGCTTTTTTATTTTTTATTTTGCATACAGCATCTATTTTCGGCATATCTTCTATTATGTTAGTTATTTTCAGTGGAAAATATACAAAATGAAATTTGAATATGAGTATTCGACTATAGTTACCTGATCAGAAGGTACACAAATCCATGCAAAGACTAACCGTGATTATAATATTGTACAATACACCATTTAGTTAGTCATGAGGTTCAGTCTTCTCATTTCAACACACATAGCATAAAGCATTGGATGACTCTTATGAAATTGTAGTTACAGTCCGGTCTTGTCCCCAGTTTGTTCTGTTGTCTTGATTTCACAGCTTTTCTGACTTTGACTTTAAACTTGTAGAGATTAAATTAACTTTAAATTAATTTTAAAGTATATTTCTTGATGTTGCTGGGTTTCAGATGACGTTAATATTCTATAGACTAGCAACATTGAATGAGATGGAGGCAGCTATAGCGAATATTGTTATAATTCAGATTTTTGTTGTATATAAAGTTATAGTGTCTTGTCATGGATGATGAGATGATCAGGTTCAACATTTTTGAATTAACCTTTTAGATAATGTTCATGAGAAATCTGAAAATCACCAGTACAATTTGATTTAGAACGTTTAGTACTTGAGTGTGTATTCAAGTTTAAGAAGCAATGGATCAGTACAGTCTGTAAAAAAAACACCAAAAAAAAAACCCAACCATCCCTATTTTTTGTAATGCTGATGTCTTGGACTGTTTTAATCAAAAAAACATAACGATAATGCTATGATTTCTATTGTAAAATCTAAACCAATGACTTTATAATGGCCTTACTCAACTGAAGAAACTACTACCATCTATGCTGTGAGATGATATGAGAACCTATAATTAATATCAGATAAATGCAATGTACAATTGTTTGCTAATACTTTAAATGTTTCCTATTCAATATATAATCCTTTAGTTGCTGATAATTATTTCACTAGTTATAAAAAGTACAATTATTAGTAACAACAAAATGCCATCCATATTTTTTGTGGTGCTGCTGCCTTCTCGGTCCGACTTGGTACCTGTCGCTGTCCCTGCTTCCTGTTTGCTTGGCGTTTGTATTGTTTTGTCTGCTCCGTCTGATGTGTAGGTGCGTGGGGAGAGGAGGGGGGTGGAGGGGCGCCTGTCGTAACCTGCCCGAGTTCACCTGTCGGCTGCAGTTGGCCCTGGCTGCTTCCTGGTGGTGGCTCACGACGCTGTAATGACTTTTTATGTGTGGGAAAATGCAGGTGAGCACTTCCTTCCACGTGCTCCGCTGCCCGGGTTACCAGCGGCAATCCCAGAACTGACTCACGACTGCAGGATGCCAGTGATGATGGTGGCTTCTGCTTCTGTTTGTTTATTTCGGCTTGGGTGACAGTAGCCTAGTGTTTTCCACAGTCATTTTGCACTTGGTGTGTCTTTGGCACCGCAGTGAAGCATCCGGACAAGTGATCCACATGAAGAGTCCTCACTGGGGGTGGGAAGATTCTATTTTGTCACAATTTGATTCAAATTTCGATACATGGCATGGTTTGATTTAATTTTGATATCTGTGCCTCAGAACAAAAACATTTTAAAATTATGTAAAGCAGAGATTTAATAAAATAACGCTATTAGCCTAGTGCTATAATGTAGTCTGTATGTAGTCAGGAGTTTATTGTGTCAGATTAATGATTTAGGCTATAGGTCTACATTTTTAATTACTGAAAAAATTACTGATGTTTGATACCTTAAAGTGCTTTTCTAGACTCTAAATATAGGTTTCTTCTGTACTAAGAAGTGAGGCCAGTGGTTAGCGTAAAGCCACAGTATGTAACATTTTAGCCACAAAAGAAAAGCGGTGTTTTTATTGCACAGGAAAAACACGTGTCCTCACTGTGAACAAGCTTGCAACTCCACAAACCTGACTGCTGCCTGCTTGTTTCCATGGAATTTTGGTACCTTTGGCCATAATCCTCCACAGTATGGCATAAAACATACCCATATCCATTGGAGAATGTTACAAAGTAGTGTTTTAATTTTTTATTTCCATGGAATCATCATGCAGGTGAAAAACCGCCTGCAGAAATGTGCACAGTGTACCATTTGACAAGTGCCAGTGATACCAAAAATAAAATAATTGGTTGTCACAACAATGACTCAGTTAGTTCCTTGCATAAATTTGTACTTCATTATTTTAAAAAATCACTTGAAAAAATCAACCACTCTGCTTTTGTTTCTCACACAAGTGCAATAATGACAAGCAGTTTTACTAGTGAAAACTGTAGTGTGGCATAAAAAAATTCTCTCAAGAAAATCTGCACATCCAGCTGTGTTAAGTTTATTTTAGTCATCTTGGGGAATGTGAGGAGTTCCCATTCATAAAATCTGACAACAATGGTTCCACTTCCTGTTTAGCATTCGCTGTGTCATTGTCATCCCCCTTGACTGAAGTGGTTGGGCTGGTGCAAGTGTCTGTTTGGTCATTGGATGCAAATTTCACAACACAGTCCTTATTCTATTGCTGCCGGGAGAATACAAGCCTTTTATGGACTTGTTTAAAGGGCCCATATTACGCTAGTTTCTGATCTGTTATAAAGCTGTTTCCTCGTCACAAACAGACCCAGAGTTGTTTTGTTTCATTCACACATGTTTAACACACAAACCCTGCTCTTTGTGTCACAGTTCTTCTTTCAAACTGATAACTAACTGTTCCAGCGTGTGATGTCATGTGGTAATACAGGAACTCTGCACCTTTACCACATTCATTTGGATCATTTCAGCTCTGTAATTTCCAATTTTTACTTTACTTTACTTTACATCTTTGGAAATGTAGACAGACTAATAATAAAGGGTTACTCAAATGTGTGAATGAAACAAAATATAAGTCCAAGCTCACAAGTTAGCAGCTGTGGTTTTAGCCATGATTGAACTATTATTTGACTTGTTTTTTCATACAAACGTTATTTTTAGTAATGCAGTGTGATGATGCAGAACAGAGACTCGTTTTAGATTTAAACCAACTTGATTTCAACATTGAAACTGGCAACCCAAACTGAGAGATTGATGTGAGACTCATTCTGCTTTCTGATTGGACAATCGCCTTGAGAACCAAAGTATAACATAAACAGCGTGGTCATCATGTTCAATGTTTTTGCACTTAAAAGTAAATCAGCATGACAGTTGTTATCAGTAAAAGCTATATTTGATTTGAACATATCTTCTGTGTATCTGGGGACACATTGGTCATGTTTATGGAATTTAAAATTGAAATCTTAGTTTTCAGTTGCATTATTAACTCACATTGTATTTGTAAGTATTACTTCTTTTAATTTTATAGTAGTTGTAGTAGAGTTCTCTTTTTCACCTATGAATGAATAATGCTGTTGTAGCAAAGAAATCCTCTCATCATCTTTCCACATTGACGTTGTATGTTTTGGAAAGGTCTCGTCCCTAAACTCTACCCGCCCTCTTAACGTTGGTGCGTTTGTGTATATAGCCTTGTCTAGTGCTCTCTCTTTAGAAAAACACATTAAAAAATCTTGAATATTTTGGCCAGATTGGACTTGAGTGACTGCTAATATTTGATTATGGAGGGCATGGGGTGTGCAAAAATATCCAAATATCAATATTAGGGGTGTAACGATATCCAAGTCTCACAAAACGATATCGTCATGGTATAAACCTCACGGTATACGGTATTTATTACGATATCGTGGGAAAGCTCACGATATGGTGGGGTACGATGGGGTACGATGTTTATTCCGATATTTTATGGAGACTAAAACTGTTAATGTGCTACTTTTTCCTCTTAAAATGCCTTGACAAGACTTAATCAAAAAAACTAATACTTAAAAGTGCTTAGAACTGTTATTTCTTCATGTAGTCTCCACTGAAATGGAGCAAAGGATGATGGTCTATGTAGTTCTGTCTTTTTTACTATTGCTGCACCATAACTCTTAATTTAATCAAAGAGACTTGTAATTCGATATATTGTGATGGTCCACGATATTATTGTGAGAACTTTGATAATACGATATCACGATATTTCGGTTATTGTTACATCCCTACAATATATTGTATTTAATTTGATGATATACTCTATTGTGGGCTGTTGTATTGGTATGTTGCAAAGATTTATTTTTATATATTTTACTAAATTATTTTCTAAGAGCACTACTATTCTGGGGCTTGAATAGAGAAAGAATAAAAGGCAACACATTTGACATGCTCATCCCTTTGATAATTCAAAGAAATGCTGTACTTCATATGAATTTTGCACAGATAGTTATTTAACACAGACTTATTATATATGATTTAGCCTTTATTATGAGCCGTATTGAATTGATTTG